CGAACAATATGTATTTTTTCCAGTGGAATTTAATTAAAATAATCCATTAAGTCAGTATGGAATTGATGGAATTGAGTTATGGTATTGATTCAAAACCCCTTCGATGTGAATCATATTATTACAATTTTTAATAATTTATTAAATTAAATTATTTTTAATTTTTTTTTATTAATAACATGTATGAAGGTTTATTTTTAAAAAGCCTTGTTTTGTAGAAGACTGAACCCCACGGCCACAGACAATGGAATAAACCATTAAAGTATCATATTGTCTGTGCCACGGCCCTTAAATAACCAGGTTCGACCCATGGTCACAAGCAGACTTCTATTACAGCGTAAATGTCTGCTACAATAATTGTGTAGCAGTCTTCTATTCCAATAATTAAGAAGTCTTCTATTCCAACATAAATGGAGTTTTCTAAAACACGAAGTCTGAGATACGATAAATTTGACATTGCACGATCCACATTTTACTAACACATTGAACACAAGGACAAACAAAGAAGATGGCTACTACAACGAGAACAACGATCCAACCAACGACGAGCTCGTGTCACGGTCAAGTCACCCAAGAGGTCCACACAATTCACACAAACCATGAAACGCAGGAACATTCGAGGAGAGGACGTGCTAGAAGCTACTAGCATATAAACATGTTCGTATGTTTAATCTGTGCTACTAGTGTACTACTAGCCTAGATTAAACATACTCCCTTGTTAATCTATGCTAATAGGTACGTCACCGCCCTACCAATGAAACCGGTACGGTTCCGCCCAATAATGACATTTAATGCAAATTTTGATGTATATTTCAATGACACGAGATTATAACTCACACGGCTCAAGACGAGAATATAAAAATGTAAGATGAACAGTTTGTTAAACACGAATTTAATGGTCTTTTGAGCATAAAACCAATATACAAGTTAACTTCATTTAAATATTGAAGAAGTTTTCTTGTTTCAAAGGATCGGCATTTTAAATTAAATAAGTTAGCGAAGAAACCAAAGTACATCAAAACAGTTTCAAGATAAGTTTTATCTTAATTTTTTGTAGCAGAAACCAAGCTCTTGATGTTTTAGTTACGCGTATTTTCATTGTATAACCATTGAATAAACGTTAAGTTGATATTTAGTTGTAATTATAAAATTAATAACGAATTTATAAATACTTATCTCATACACATCAGTGATTTCGGTACTTACGTATTATACGGAGGCCACTTATTTTACAGTGCGCTGCGGCGGTTGGGTTAAGTTGGGTTATCATAAATATGTTTGTAGAACTTTCCTAGTTTCGTTATGAATCGAACTATACGAGAAGAGTCATAAAAACTTATGATAACCCAACCTAACCTAACCGCCGCAGCGCGCTGTAAAATAAGTGGCCTCCGTATAATACGTAAGTACCGTGATTTCTTATATTTTGTCATCATCATTACGTACTCATGACATACATGAATAACAAAAGTGCCACAACTCAATCTTTCTACAAACATAGTGTTCATGGATTTAATAAATATACTATTATGATAAATCCAAGTAACCTTTGAGTAAATAATTTTTCTATAAATATTGTCATGGTTCGCCCGTGGTGGAGTTTTGCCCGTAGTTAAAATAACACATATCACCTTTACGTGGTTGTTAGCAACCCATAAACTGTAGGTTCTATCCTTTCTCACAAGCAAATCTTCTAGTACAAAATCTACCAACCTTGATATAAATCCTAGTAGAACTTGGAACACAGACAATATAATCTAAATGTTGTAGAATCATCTGAATTACTTCTTCAATGGTAAACTACCATGAATTCCTAACTAAAACAAAATTATTACTCATGTGAATATAGTAATCCCAGGTGATAAATAATGTTTGACAACTGTTATTGTTCCAAATGCTCTCCAACAATACAAGGTCATTTGTCTGATAACAATGATCCCCTTTGTTTGAGGTCATTAATTATGTCTACAGACAGACGAGGATACATCGCTTGACAAAGTATGGAAAATGAGAAATTTATGTAATGTAGCTATGTTTGTAAGTACATAAAAATATGTATTGTTAATTATCGCACAGTCATGATGTATGCAATTATATGTTTTATTATGAGGTTAGTGATTATGGTAAAGTATGTGCAATAAATTTATTTTCATATTTCTAGCCATTCTGGATTGTTAATGTTTGTAAATAACAATCAAGAAGTAAAAGACAACTCTCAAGGCATGTAGTTGTACTAAAATGCATGCTTCCATTTTATTCGACTGTAATAGTTATTTATGTTACTAGTGGGCGAAGTGGTACTTTGCTGAACACGAGAGAAATGTCTACGCACTAGCCGGACCGTAGGCGAGCACATCTTATAACCATATAACATGTATAATACCATGGATTAATAGGAGTAGACTACTCCTTCCTATGTGTACTCCTTTAATATATGATAATATAATATACATAGTATATACTGTTTTGGGCAGGGCACAGTTGGAAACATCAGGTGTAGAGTGTAGACTATAATTATATCCCTAGTGTTAAGAAAAAGATCTTCATTAAATAATGTCAAAGATAATTTAAAATTTAAAATCCTTTGTGCAGTTGCAGTATATACACAAATGTAAAGTATATGCATACAGTCACATGTACAAAAATGACTGTACAGTTGAGTAAACTGTAGTAAAGCATACTGTAATCTTTATAAGCTGTGTAGCCTAAGCTCTGTCTTTATTGTTTACAACAATAGCTTAACAGCTATATTGTACCTAGAGCACTTTGCTGATTGGGCGAGCAAGTTGTAGCAAGATTGAAGCAGAAGTGCAAATTTAATGGATTGAGTTAAGATCACAGCGATATTTAGCGATATTTAGGAGCAGAAGAGCGTTCAAAATTAATTCTTTTTCTTTTTTATTACGTAGCGTTACATTATGTTTGTCTATGAAAAGAGGATTGGTTCCATTCCTCTTTTTGGTTTGTAGCCAAAAATAAAAATGTACATAGTGATGTAGGAACAGAGTGCGCCGATTTAAATCTCTGATTTCTGCAAGTAACCCAATTTGTTAACAATTAGAAAAGGACAACTTATTGAAAAGTGCAGCATATTTTATATCACATTAACTATCACAGAAACAAAAAGTAATTAGAAAAAAAAGACTTTTGGGACACTTAAGTGAGTTTCTCATTTAACTATATCATTTTTAACAAATAATAAAGGTTATTGGTTATCTAAATAATTTATTCAGTTTATTATATTGCTTAGAGACACGTTTGTTTGTAAAAAATAAATAATCTTTGTTTTATAAACCCTTGAAGAGGTGTGTACGTGTTTGTTCTCTTTCATATTTTTATTTTTAACTATTTCATTCACTTTGCTTTTTACATTATATTCTCTTGTCTGAATTACTCATTTTATTTTAAATGTAACTAAGAAATTCCCTACCCTACCTAAAAATCTGCAGTTGGTTCAATTAGATAAACTAAAAAAATAAAATACTGATATTATTTTAAAAGTCAATAATTATATCAGCGACTCAGAGACTTAGAAATCTTAACGCACCTTAAATCTACTTAATCTTAGAGATCTTAATGACCTTGGTGATCTTATTTGAATTTCTCTCTTCCACGCACAGGAGTAAATACACGATCCTTTGTGAGATATAATGTTGCGTAGGTAGTGGAATTAAAAAAGATGTTTACACAAAAACTGTTGTATCATTTATAGAACTAAATAATACAGTTAATATTTGTGTTTAGGATTAACATCATGTAACTTGTAATGTTTTGTATAAGTTGTATTTTGATTTGATTATCCAGTGTGTAAAATTTATTTTGAAAACGTTTTAATATTTAACTGCACTTGTAAATTAATTAAAAATTTAAATTCTGTTTACAATGCGTATAGCCTACATTGAAAAAGTGAAACCTATTACGATGCTGTCAACAGTGTCAACTTTTACTGGACAGTTGATGGTTGTTGAGATGAAACAAAGGGGTTCGAGAGTGCAGACAGGTGACGAGGTGACGTCATCAAGATGGCCGCCACAGCTGATAACACTGCGGAGTAGACTGCTGACTGGTGCTGATAACGTGTATTCAGCAGAGCATTTCTGAGAAGAACCAGATATAGCTGAAGAAGAACATGTTGAGTCGGAAAAACGTATGATATAAATGAAACTTTTGTTTTACTGTAATCATTTTTCAATTACTGTACCTTTGATAGGCATCAGTTGTGTTTATAATTCGTTTTGTACACCTGTGTTACTGAGCATTATTTAATTATATTTTAAGTATAGAAACAGTCACTTAATAGTTAAAAAAAATTTGGATGACTAGTGGTCAACTTTTTTTGTCGCAAGAAAAACTGCATCAATTGATGGATAGTACACAAATGACTGCTCTAAAAGTTCTCTTCTAAAACGTCTCAGCATATTAAATATATTTTTTGTTAATGATAAGTGTTTACTTGGAATTTAGAGGGAAATCGTTTCTTGTTTCAATAGTCAATGAGTCACACAGAAACTATAAAATTCTTACCCTGGCAAAAATCATATAAAAATATAAACAACTAATCAAAATTTTGTGCCTAAAGTATCGTAAAATCATTGTAAAATGGGGATTGAAGTTTAAAATATTATTTTTCATTAAAAGCCTACTATAATATTTTACAGCCAAAAAGGATTTACTTATCCCCATCAAGTATTGCATTCATATGGTCGCCATTTCAAAGTAAAGTATTAGGTATTAAGCTCTTATGTACTATTATTCTAGGCGAATTAAAATTAGGATTTGAAAAATACTAAATTATTTTGTGAATTAATTAAAACACATAAGTTAATGCTTAGTTATGTTTATTGAAAAGATATAAAACTACAATAACTACACCAAGGGACACTCTTGTTCGCACTGAGATACAGTAGAATTCAACGGCTACGATAGAGAAATACTTAAAGTAAAGTAACAAAATCATAAAAATCTAGATCACGAAAATGCCAAAGACAAATATCATAGTCCTTTCTTACAGATAATTTTATTACATTCTTTACTAAATGCCAAAAATTATGTAAATATTATTTGGATACTTCGCGATAGAGGTAAAAAAAAATTTAGAGCGATCCATTTGGGTTTGAATTCTTCTCAGTGTTTTTCTGGATCCTTTATATGAAGAACTCCACGTCCTTCTCACCATGGTCCTTAGGTTTTTGGTCCTTCTGTGGTTGGATACGGTAAACAAATGTCGGCTCTGAAAAAACCACAATTAAAAAAATCACAAATTTTAATCTAATCTAACTTTACACCCCCTTAATCTAACTTTACCCTTTTACAGCATTACTGTATTTAAAGATGATACAGATTTGTTATGTGTATAAAAACAAAGCGAGCGCGGTAACAAAATGCATTATTTTTATTTTATTTTGGTCACAAAATGACTTTTTGCTCAGCATCGTACGTGTAATTAAATGATTACCGTCTTGTGAGTCAACAGTATAAGTGTAAGTATATTTCTTCACAAGTGTTATTTGGCGTATGTTCATACAGTACTTCAGATCAAATTGACCAAGCCAAACCGGTTAATGGAAATAATTGATTGGCACCAACTCAACTCGTACACTACACGTACACCGGTGAAAAATCAAATACATGTGAAAAAAGTTGATATACAGTATCTACATTTAGTAGCAATGCAATAATAGCTATAATTTGTATGAAAAGGAAATCATGGTTCAAAATATGTAAGTTAATATCTGCCTAGAAACACTGTAAAAATATGAAACCTTGGTAATGACTAGTTATAAAATTGCTAGTTACTTGGGAAAATAGTGGACAACTTATTTGTGGTAAAAATTTAAGTAGCGATGAGTTATTTATCTAGATCAATTGAGTAATTGGCATTAGCATTTGTATTTATTTGATTTCCCGAAATAAAGGACAATTTATAGTTATAAAGTTGTGTTATGTTTGATTATGTTGCGTTTTAATTATGTTCGGGGAAATTGAGTTTGGATGAATAATTATGAATTTAATTTCATTAAATTTGATTAGTTATAAAAAATTAGTTCTGACGAATTCCGGTTGGTTGTTAATAAGTTAGCCTTTTTTTAATAATATTTCCAGTAGTCCATTTAGTAAGGAAATATTATGAAAGAGTGGGTATATTGTATATTCATTCATTTATATACAAAAAACTTATAGAGTTATTAGGAATTTGATCTCAAAATAGTCTCATAGGTACTAGTTGCTCTGCCCGAGCTTCGCTATGGGTTGAGGATGCAGAAATGAATACTGTAATTTTTTTTAATCTGCTGTAAGAAAGGGACAGGTTATATTTTTGAGCAAAGCGAGGCCTTCTGCATCAAGGAAAAAAGGCTCAACCGTCAAATCCACCAATATTATTTCTACTCAACTCTTTACTTACAACACTTGATTTATACAGGGTGAGTTTTAATTGTCCCCCCCCCTCCAACTTTTTTCTACATTTTTCAAATATCAATCCAAAATCCACTTCCAAACACTATTTGGTATATTTGGATATAGTAAGTACTTCTTTTGATAAGGTGGTCATTTTCGGCCGCAGCCTTGGATTCAACATATTGGATGCAAAATATTTTTTTCAAATGTAAAGGTGGGTTGTGACCCATTATTTAAAACAAAATTTTTACCCTGATCCACATTCATGTAGATGTGAAAATAATAATAGTATCCTATGCCACAATCCGTTTTTAGACATATTGATCCATTCCAAAGTTATAAAGATATTTTATGACTTTAGCCCATTTTAACATTGTGCACTTACAAACTAAGACCATAACCTCAAAATAGTGCTAGATAAAGATAAGAATACACCCCAGTCATTGTCAACCTATTTTCACTTGGTTATGACGGATGTAATTTTTTGCCACCATCTTGGATCGGCATTTTGAAATGTGATTAATAGACAATTAAATAGACAATTAAAACTCCCCCTGTAGTATGGATGTTAGAAATATTGTAACACAAATTGATCATTTCAATTAATAAGATTTCATCCTAGTTTTATTTCTTTATAGACATTGTTTTAATTTCTTACATTAAGAAAAAAATATCATAAACGTGATCGCTTAACTGGCTTTCCCTAATTCGAAGACAATCCTAGTCAAATGCAGTAAAAAATTAATTTTTAAGTTACCTAAGTTAAATTCAAGTTACCCACCTTCATCTACGTTACGCAGGTCCACCTCGCTGTTCTCAGGCACTGTAGCTAGTTTCTTCTTCAATATAACAACCTTTTCGTCGAAAGCATTGTTTCGTTCGAAATCATGTTCACCAATTTCTTCCCTTTTTTCGTTAACACATTCATCTTTCTCTGGGGTGTTCACAATGATTTCGTACAGATCTTTCATTGATTCAACATTCTCAATGGAGGTCTCAGGGGCTTGCATATTCTCCTTAAATTGAATATTTTTCTTGGTAACTTCTGAAGACTCAGAGCGAAAGCCGCCACGGAAGTTGTTGAAGGACGGAGGCAGATAGTTGTTAACGTCCTCGTTGTCGATGATGAGTTCATCGAAGATGTCGTTGTTGAAGGACCACGAGGGATCTATTCTGGTCGGAGATCGTTCAATGTCAGTAGAAGGTCTTACGACCGAAACAAATATGCTGGTGATGCTGTGGTGAAGGAAATTGTAGAAAGCGTGTATCAGATCTGTGAAAAAACAATGGAGATGAAATCATATAGCTCGTTTTTTGTCATAAGGCATTATCTCACCATAGTTCAGCTATACTGTGTTTGTGGTAGTGCTGTAGTGTTTGCCGGTAATGTATGTACGTCGTTCTGTTTATTCTTTTACTGCTTCTACGTGTTTTCAAATATTTTTCCAATTTGTTGTATGTTGTATTAAAATTCTCCTATAAACAGATCACTCGGATGTTTAATATTATTATATTGTTATCCTTCTTCATCAATTATTGTTTCCATAAAAATAACCCTTCCATGACTATTTGAAATGAACATTGCTCTTATGTCGGGCAAATGTTTAAGGGGGCTGTCAACTTCCAAGGACTCTCATTGAAAACAATAAAATTATAAAACCCCAAGAAAATGACTTTATATCATAGTGTCCTAGATATTCAAATTACTATCAATTTGGTATTTGAACAAATATTTTGAGGGGTACAACTGCTGTTTGAAATAATCCAAGATGGCCATCAGCCTCCTTGGACTGGGCAGTGGTATATATCTTTAGACTCACAATTTATTCTGTAGTAATATATTGTTTTCGATTGTACTTTGACTGGATGGACTTGTAAATTTTTGCTATATTTTACGTTCAATACAGTTGAATTTTGAGTCAAGATATCACAAAACCTTAATAGTTAAGCTACAAAAGATCGCTGTATTGATTTTGGTTGATATTTTAACTTTGTTCATTTGCTTGGTTCTTAGTTTAAACGTAATCACGTTTTGCACCTTTGCAAGGATAAAAAACGTAACTTATCGAATTGTAATGTAAATCAATAAGAAGTCACAAACTTTAGAGTTTTAAGCTTTAAATTTTTGTACTGTACCTCTGAATGATTTTGAGTAAGCGACATAATTCAGAACGCAGATCACAAGCATGAGGAAGACAAGCATGTTGATAAGTCTGAAGTAGTAATCAGCATTCATTGACTGAAACACGTAAATGATTAACTGTAGACTACGCTACATGGTAGCCAACATTTCCTGGAAAGTAGCCTATATAACGATCAATAAAACTAAAAGTTTCTTCAATTAAAAACTTTTACCGGGCCAGTAAATTTCTTAGCAGTACCTTATGCAAATGTATCTTTTGGAGCATTGCCTCGGCTATTTATTATTTTAGACCAGCTCCTTTCAAAATGGTGTTTTCAAAACAGTGTCTAATTGGTCGCATACATGCATAGCTAGTTGTGCCTCAACGGAACATTCTTTTTGGAGCACCGCCACACATTGCCTCAACAGAATATGCGAGATCAGACGTTTATCCAAGAGTGTGCACAGCCAGGCATTGCAACGGAAGGCCCGCCGCACATTGAACATGTATTTGTACATTGTTTTGTTTTATATGTATGTTTGGATTTGTATAAACAGGTTAAGTGTAAGAGAGGGCCATGTGGTCCTAACTTTGCCTGACTAAATAAATCATTTTTCATTTCATTTTTTTTTTTTCATTGAAGCGAGGCGAGATGCATCGAAGTATTGGATGCAGGCTAGGTGCAGGCGGGAGCGAGGAATTTTTCGTGTCACCTCCTGGTCACCGCACATTGAAGCGAGGCGGATAGATGCACAGAAAAATATTTTCTGTGATAGAGGGTTCCTAGCTTTGGTCGTACTTCTTAACTGAATCTGATTGTCAGTTGAATAATTTAGTTTTACTCTATTCGCTAACCGAAAAACGTAAAAATGTTTTTGCAAATGTGATTACATAAAATAGGCTACTAAGCCATGGAGAGAAATTTTTATCTAATAAACTGCCAGACCGGTCAATTAGGAAAATATTTTCGTGTGAACAAACAACACCTTGATGATATCCATAATTTTATTGAAAGGTCCAATAGTTCACTATTGGAATGTGGTCGGTCCTTCGGTCCGACATAGTGTCGGCGAGAGGCCTCTAGTAACGTGTGTACAAAATACCTAATTTAGGATTGTAAAATATTTAATAACCACACTAAAAACGAAATACAAAGATAAAGTTTTAGACCATAAATAAGCAATCTTAATAATGAAATAATAATAATAATGCGTTTATAGTTAATTTTTAGACCTATAATGTTATTGAGAAAATTGCCGATTACCATGCTATGTTTTTCACACGTCAATTGCGTTGTTTGCGTTAATGTCAAAAGTAAAACTTAAAATAACCTAGGCGTACTGTAATTAACTAATTTAATAAGATTTACAAAAAGTAAATCCAATTCGTCTAAAACATGAAACATAATTAAATATATTTACACTACGTTTGTCTATTGAGTGTGATGATAATTAAATTGTCTAATCCAAATAGATCACAATTAATACCATATTTCATATATATTTATCGTCCTAAAAATAAACAGTATATTTGTTTCAAATGTGTTTTTACGTATTATTATTTTATTTTTCATAAGAAAAACTCCTCAAATTCACAAAAAATAAATATAAACATAGGTTTTGAAATCCCGTTAATCCCGGGTTTAAAAGACGTCAATCCCGGGATTTCTAGGTATCAAAAATCCACCGAAATCCCGGGATTGAGACCCCTAACACACACACAGACATCACCTTGAAAACTCATGATTTTTTGCGTCAGGAGGGCCCAATTGGCCCCAAAGTCAAGTCAATTGGGCTTCAACACTCAAATTCGAAAATTTTGACGAAATAGCAATGCATATATTTTAAGTATATCCAGAAAGTTAAATTTTGCCATAATTTAAATATTATAAAAAACGTTCAAATAAAGGTGTCGACTGCGAAACGGTTGTACATGCGTTTTTTTTATTCCAATATAACAGTAGTAAAAGCTGTTAGTGGATTGTTGAAGCTAATATTACGCAATATTGAGCACTTAATTCAAACCGGTGACTTTTGGAACGGTCACATTCTTTCGGAGCAGTACAGCAGATAGAAACCTTTTAACCATAACAAGAGAGTCGTCAATCACAGAACAACCGAATTAATCTTTCACACATCAGATTGTTTCATTTATTTATTCATTTCAACGGATACACCATTTCCAAAATAATATGTTTAAGCACATGAGCAGAATGAAAAGATAACAATTGCATTCAGTAGCGTCATTTGGGGGGGGGCAGGGGGGGGCAAGGGGGGCGTTTTCCCCCCTGGATCCTGGGCTAGAGAAAAAAATATGCTGTACTAGCCAATATACAAATATTTTCTCCTGTCAAATCCTAAAAAGCACAGCAGACAAAAATCTGTATATTCTTGTACAGTAATTTGAAACAATAGTTATTTTCCTACAGTTACCTAACAATGTACATGTTCTCTCACTGATTTAAGAAAGCAAAGTGGCCAAATCGCTCATTAGTGAGACAATGTTAACATTGTCTCACTCTAATTACTTTGTCTCACTCCAGATGAGCAACGCGAAGGCACGAAATAGTGAGCGCGTAAATGCAGGCAACGTCGAATGCGCGCGAAATACGTTAGCAGCACTGGCTGTAAATCAGCTTGTCAGCTGTTGTACTGTTGTATTTGTCACTTCACATTAAATGTTATATTAAAAGTTCACTTCTGTGTAAAAATAGGTTATGTTTCTTCACCAATTTATTTGTTTTATGGTAACTGTAGGAAAAGTATAATGTGCAACTCGAGTTCAAAGTACAATTGCCTCACTCGAGAAACCATTCCTCACTCGCCTACGGCTCGTGAGTAAGGATTTCTCTTGAGTGAGTCAATTGCTCACTTTTGTCACTAGTTGCACAAATAACTATTGTGCAACTAGTGAGAAAAGTGAGCAATTGACTCACTCGAGAGAAATCCTTACTCACGAGCCGTAGGCGAGTGAGGAATGGTTTCTCGAGTGAGGCAATTGTACTTTGAACTCGAGTTGCACATTATACTTTTCCTACAGTTACCATAAAACAAATAAATTGGTGAATAAACATAACCTATTTTTACACAGAAGTGAACTTTTAATATAAAATTTAACGTGAAATGACAAATACAACAGTACAACAGCTGACCAGCTGATTTACAGCCAGTGCTGCCAACGTATTTCGCGCGCATACGACGTTGACTGCATGTTACGCGCTCACTATTTCGTGCCTTCACGTTGCAAATCTGGAGTGAGACAAAGTAATTAGAGTGAGACAATGTTAACATTGTCTCACTGATGAGTGAATTGGCCACTTTGCTTTCTCAAATCAGTGAGAGAACATGTACATTGTTAGGTAACTGTAGGAAAAAATTATTATTGTTTTATTGTCTTAGATAGCACATTTTGAGTTTACATAAATTAGTAGTTTTGTTATTCATTAACTTTTTCTGTTTGGTGCTGTACGATAAACCACTTACTTCTAGTTTATATATACAGTATACATAAAAATTCAGATGTTTTAGAAGCATTGCTTTGTCATTTACTTTAATGAATTATTCAAGCATTAAAATTATACATGTGTATAAATTTTACGTAATTTTTTTAACATTGTGGACTACCAATTTATAATAGTTAAATAGAACCTTTTGTACTTTTGTGTCAAATTATTTTATTGGTGATAAATTTTTTTTTACTTTTAGTTCTTAAATACTTGTATTTTATTTAAAAACCAAAATAAACTGTTATAAACTATAGGCTATGAACAATTCATTGAAATATTCATTGCTAAATGTTGTACAAGAGAAATTGGTCATGAATCTAATAACAAACATTATATTAATACATCATGGAACTATTGATCACGTTTCTTAGATAACAAACTTACCAACATAAAATTATTGTGTTTCTGTCTGTTGTCAATAATTCTTAGTTTCATGAACTTTCTGCCTAAATTTAAATAAATTTTACTCATAATTCTGTTTTTATTTGACGTGCTTTTGACAATTAAAATAAGCTTAAACCCCTCTTTTTTTGTTTCAAAACTGCAAAATTTTCCGGGGGAGGACCCCCTGACCCCCCTTGTTTGCTGCGGGGTATTCTATACCCCCATACCCCCCGGTATTTGCCCCCCCCCCAACGATTTGGTGAAATGACGCCACTGATTGCATTGGAAATAACAAAAGAAGTCCAATATACAGTTATATCGATATTGTATAAACTTTAAGCTACCAGTTCTGCAATTGATAAATCTCATAAATAGCTTAAGTGTAACATATTAAAAATCAAACACTCAATCGAAACTACTATTGTCTTAAAATACATTTCAATAATAACGAATTTTTAGAAATACTTCAGACTCAAGCTGCCCAAATAATTGAATCACAGCAATACCTTATTAATGAAAAACATTCGAATGTAAGTTTTAAAATACCGCATAATTTATGTTCACAACAAAACTAATATACAGTAGGAACAAAACTAACAATAAAGCAAATCTGCCTTACTAGGCTAGCATATGTCACTTATTTATGGTTTTTAATTTTAAAAACATCCCCTCTATAGTAAATACAATAATTTTAAAGTCGTCAGATGTATAAACTGAAATTTACCTTTTTATGGTCAGGGAGAGGCTCGTCCATGTAGTCCGGAAGGTGTGTGTTGTTGAAGATAGGGGGAGGAGACATGTCCATGTAATCTAGAAGGTCTGTGTCGTTGACTTCTTCATTGAATGTATTCATCTTCATGCGCGATACAAGGTACAGACATTCAAACTAACAGACTAACTGAGACACTACACTCAGCTGTGGCAGGAGGCGGGGCTATATAATACACAACTGAGGACTGGAGTGGAGGTAGAGACATGACAGTCAGATGTTATGTTATGGCGGGCTCCTAGCTCAGCTGTCAAGCAGGTGTGCCACTCTAGCCACGAGAAAAAAATGATCTTACTATTCTTACTGTATATTATATGAAATGTTTCACTATTAGTTTCTGTAATTTGTGACGTTAATTGTTAACTGAACTGTTTCCTTATAAATCATAAAACATCACTATGAAAATTTCAAATACATAACGTACATTATAGCCTAAAACTCAATATAAAGATAATAAGGACCATGAAGTTTTGAGAAAACCACAAAAAATTTCAGTTTTTTTATTGACTCTCTCCTAAGGGCACAGGTCTGTATTCAAGCACATTAAAATATTTAATGTGGGTCAGCTGGTCAGCAGTTACATTTGTTTTATTGTTTTTATTTATTACCGTAAGTCTCATGATAAGACCTAGACCCGGGACCGATTTACTTTTTCGTTTTGATGTCCCCAGAGGCCAAAAACACCATCCGTTTAAATTCATTAATATAATATAATTATATAGGCATATGAATAACTATATTATATTATATAACTCGAACAAAAATGACCCGATTTTAATTGAATTTGGTACAAACGTGTAAACCTACGTTTATTCGAACGAGTTCGCGAACCAGCATAATTAATTGGACTATGGGAACGGGGATTTATGGGAGGTTTTATGTGGTAAAAATGGATTTTTCCTATTTTTGACCCAAAAAACACAAATTTTCATAATTTCTCTCCAAACCATTTTGTAAAGCTTAATAAAAGAAATAATTTGGTATATTGACGCGTTGTTGTATGCCCAAAGGTTACGGAGATCATTTAAAAATTGTATACTGTATTTTTAAAACTCCCGTGTCACTCTTATGGAGAATAAATAAACTGTTGTATTTTATGGATATGTTTCAACCAAATTTGGAAATTTTGTTTATTTAATACTTCTAAGCTATCAACATTGCAATGAAAAACACACCTCAATATCTTCCTTGTAGTAGCAAACCTAAGTAATCACTAAAATTAATGTTTTTGTTTAGTTAGGAAATAAATCTGACAATTTTTAGGGAACATTTTAGTAGAAATCCAGCCAGGTAAATGGAAATTCGCTTAGTTTGCAGGTTTGCTGCGGCAGGGGTATTTCTTTACAAATTGTTTGTTTACTTTTCTCCTGAGTTAACCTCTTAATTTTCCAAATAGATAATTTAAATGGATATTCGTTAAAATAAGCAGTACAGTCCATTGGATCAGTACAGTTGATCCTTTGTAATCAATAATCATTGGTAAGTCTGTAGCTGGTTTACAATAGATTTAGAGACCCTCTATCTTCTCTGTTTCCTCACCCTGTTACAAAGCACAATAATAACAACTAGTTTAGATTAATACGATTAAAAAATAGTAATAAGAAATCAGGTGATAACACATAACTTGTAATATTTAGTGGTAGCTATCTATGTTTGAGCTGTTATCACGAGCGATACAATATTTTTTTACATCGTGTCGCATACGTACACGTTTTAGTTTAGAAAGTGTAGAACTAACTGTCAGTCGATTTTCTGTGGGGTATTTCTACAAAATGTACATTATAAGTTAAGAGGATCAGGATTTATTAAGTCGTTGCAGTAATCAATATAAAAATACACTTTATATAGTATCTGAAGTTTTGCAGGGCAAATTTGTCCCGAGACGGTGGCATCACTGGCTGCATTGAGGCTCGACTCTCGACTCACCTGACTCGACTGTCAAATCACAACATAGCTCATTCGCTCATTCGACTGATTCAAGTCAAGTCATTCGTCGTTCGTTGTTTTTGTTTATGCGGTTTTTGTTTGTGCGGTGTGCTCCCTGAACACGGGTGAACAGAACTTCTAGGCAAAATGGATCCCCTTGATGTACGTAAACAGTTAATTTTTATTTTTATTCCTAAGAGGCTTAGATGGTTGCAGTTTGGTTAAGGTTAGGTTTAGAAATACATGCGTAATAGGCTATCAAAGGGAATGTTGAAATGTTACAGCAAGTTTGGTTTGTTAGGTTGGTTTTATTTCATTATAATTGTTTTTTATTGTTGATACTGAACAATATTTATTTTCTTGTTTGACAGGATGAAAATTTTAGTTTCGACAATCTCTCTAAGAACTAGATCATTTATATGACAATTCATTGAGCCGAATGGAGTACTTTTCAGAAATGGAATAAGAATAAACGTGTTAATTAGCTTCATAGCCTAAATTCATACAAAACATAAGTACAGCTTGGAAATTAATGGGCTGTTTTTGCCTGTAAGTGTGAAATGAAAAAAATATTTTTAAAGAAAGACTACTCTCCAGAGAGGTCTTAACTTCCACTATCTTAAACAATTTACAATCAAAATGTAGTTTTTCCAAGTTAAAAGCAATCAAACTATGCATACTGTAGGGCATGTGTTCATTTAAACGAAGAGTTTAATTGACATTAGGTCCATATTATCACCAAACGCCAAGGTCAAATTTGACTCGAATTTTTCGTATCAAGAGGCCTAAATGAAATAAAAATCTGTATTTCCCATAGTATTATGTACAAACGTAAAGAGTCATTAAATTAATTTAAATTTAGAATAATTGTGTACAATATGTTTATGAAAATGACTGGAGATTAATACCATTTTAATCCCGAATAAATTAAATGAAATGAAATGATTTATTGTCGTTAAAACTATGTACAAAGTTCATGACAATCGTCAAAAGAAAAACAAAACAATCAAGATGGCTCTGGCAACTAAAATATCTAAAACTCTAAACCAAAGTTCATGTTTATACAGGCAAGCCTGGGCTAGAGTAGTTTTTAAAACATGTTTGAATTTTAAAACACACAGGTTTTTGATGGATGCAGGCAAGAAATTGTACATTTTAACACCTTGGTACTCAAAACTATTTTGAGTGGCTGTATACTTATGCCTTAGTGTTGACAGATTATCTTTAGATCTAGTACAATAGTTGTGAACATCAGATATCTTTTCAAAGTGAGTAATGTTTTCTTTTACAAACAACAAACTTGCCAAAACATACAAGGATGGAAATGTGAGAATGTTAAGACTTACGAAAAGGGGCTTACAGTGTGTTCTTCTATTCACACTACAAATTAACCTCACCGCCTTCTTTTGTAAAGTAAAAAGCAACCTGTTAGCATAAAAACTGTTGACCCACAGTGAGGTACCATAGGACAAATAGCTATGAATGTGGCCATAATATATACAAATAAGGACATCAACTGAAACAAAATATATTTGCTGCCAAGGGAAATTGCCTGTATGCATGGTCAAAAATCTGTACGCAGAACAGTACTAAAGAGTTGCTATGGTTTATAATTTTACACCAATGCTGTAAAAATAGTGTTTGCAGAAGATGTTGAAGACGCCTCGAGTAGTGGGAATTATTGGCAACGGAAATTCAGAGAGATGAAGAAACTATTCAGCACTCAGCAGCTGTTCATTATATTCCAGCGACAAGTTGTCACTGTGGAATCAAGTGGTCTTTGGAGTAATTTGTAGGCATGCAAATAACAAAAGTGAAGCTAAGTTTACACTAGCATGTAGCAGTGGCGCCACTTTTACTGGCTTCAAAGTGGCGCCAAAAATGGACCGTGTAAACCCCTAATGACGCGCCATTTTTAGTGGAGAGGCGCAGTGGCGAACCAACTGGAGTGACGCCACAAATATATGTTTTGACAAATATTAGTGGCGCCAGTAGCGACTGACGCGCCATCTGTACTGACGCGTCACTTGCGGTGGCCCGTGTAAACCACAGTTCCCGTGCTAGTGACGGACGTCTAGCTCAATTTTCATTTGTTTACCTTGCTTGATCTCTGTATAAACGTGTTTTTTCGGTGTTAATTAGTATAATCTTTGTTTAATTTTATATTAATTAATTAGTCGGGCTTAATCCGACTCACAATGTCACGTGCTTCCTCCAATAACTCTTCACTAACCACATCAATCGCTGTTCCTAACACATTCCGAACACTCTCAATGTTATCGGACATTTTGAAGGTAATCCCTTTACTTTACTTTGATGTTATTTGTTGTATAAATTGTATAAGAGACAACAGCTACAAAATAAAACCAACCATTTCTGTGCAAAAAAAATCTAGTGTCTCCATGAAAATAGCGTCATTAACAGTGGCATGGCTTGAACACTCCCTTTTGTGTGTAAACCGCTAGTGTCATGACACTAAAACTGGCGCGATTTAGTGGCGCCACTGCTACATGCTAGTGTAAACTTAGCTTGACAGTCTAAACTTTAAAGGGTCAAACAATTTAAAAATAAACCATTGTATTAGCATGTTTTAATGCTGGAAAATGTATGACTAACATCTAAAACCTTTACTTGTTTACTGGTTGTACTTTTGAAATAGTTAAACAAATTTAAAACCCACAAAATTATGAAATAGTAGTTTACGCAACGATTGCGTTAAGTGAGTCTTTACGACACGAGTAGAAAATTTAAGGCACGAGCCTTGGCGAGTGCCTTAAAAACTTCTACGAGTGTCGTAAAGACTTAACGCGAGTTGCGTACACTACTTTACCTACGACCGTTTTTCTACTATCAATCTGGATTTAATTACTAACAATCACTAATGATAACTTTTTAGAGAGGTTATGTTTTCGTGTATTGTCATTGGCACTGAATGTGATGCAACGACTTGTTGTATAATCAGCTGATTTCCTGTAATTACGTGTTTGTTAAACTTCGTTAAATACATTGCTAGCAGCATTCTTACTATAAATAATATTGTATCAGGTACAATTCGGCAAATATTTCATTTATTTTTGGACTTCCACCAACTTAATTATTAAGAATACGCGAGTATCAACATGAACAAGTCGGATCAACAATTAAATTGGTCAACTGATCAGCTGATGACGTTCGAAGCATTACAATTTTAATTCTTTTCTCTCAATACTTGAACCTCATTGGTCCGTTACCTGTGTTGATATGAGAAAAACAATATGCTGATATGAAAGTAAACAGCTGTAAAGTGAAACTTTTCAATTCTAAGAACTGGACTGAAATGGCTACTTTAAAAAACGGTCGTAGGTAAAATATTATTCAAAAGTAAATAACATCAATTGCACATTCACATTCGTATGTAAATTGTTGTGTATCAGTATCGAAAAAATATCCTTACCGTCGAAATTTGAGTGACACTTGCGTTGAATTGAAACTTTTCACTCTAATTTTAGGCTTTATATTATCCTTACGTCTCTGTGGTTTAAGAAACAAAAATTCAAAAATGCAAATATTGATTGCAACAACCCAAGACGTGGTTTGTTTAATTAACATCAAAAGTAATACTGTATCCTATAAGAGTTACAATTAAGTTTAAAATACTTATAAGACATCTACAGTAAATAGTGGGCGATTTATTCTAACTTTTAACTAAAGAAAGTCTATAATATATTTTAATCAGGTGACAGTTTAAAACTTAAATAAATTAGAAAAATAAGTAGAAAATTAAATAAACTTAGAACATTATACATCCTTAACACATTCAGTGTTACGGTATCCATATGGATACCTGGAACCTGCCAAACTGATATTTTGTCTGTGGCTCAGCCGTTCGTTATTTTGAAAAGTAGGCCTACTGTGTAGCCACCTGAGTTGATACTGTTGAATGAACATGGTGATCTTGGTTTCTATTTTTTCGCGTTATTAGTAGTTTAGGTGGGGGAGGGGTGAGCTCGCCTTCATTTATTCCTTTGGAGAATATTTGGAGATTATTGATGCCCATCTTATTATTAGTTTCCTTTACTGTCTGTTGTTGCAAACACTGCGTTTCTAAGTTGACGATTCGTTGTGATCGTCGTGAGTTTTTTGAGCGTCATCGAAGTTTAGCAGGCGCCATTATCAGCGATCCCACGACTTGCATGGTCCGCTGGGCAAGGACGATGAGGCTTGGGAATGGTCTCTGCGACACAGGCGACCTGTTCTGTGATAGTTCAGCTAACATCAGAAGACGGATGCTCGCTGTTCCCTGGCCTATAGCTGATTGATTCGGTGGATTGAAAGTCTCTTTGCACTGTAAATAGTCATTTCTGCTTGTTTTGTATTTCTTTTAATTTCTCGTAATCTTATTGAATATCAAGCATTTTGCACATATACTATTTGTATCTCTGTATCTGTATTTCTATATTTCTTTATAGCATTTCTATATTTCTTAGCATATTTCTTTATTTGTATTTTCTGTATATTTCTGTATTGTATTCTCCGTATTTTTTTCTTTGTATGTAGCCATGTTGCATCATGCATCCTATAAGTATTGGTTATTTGCCGTTGGAATGAAATAAGTATAGTTATATACGTCGATGGTTCTTTAGTACCGGTGGCGATGGATACCATTAGGTATTCTTCTTTGAAGTCAGTGTTTCAAGCTAAATACTTTTGTAATTACATTTATTACTATATCATGTATTTCTATCATCAAAATGTTACTTTTTAATGAATTAAAAATTCAGATTTCGGGTGAATAATTTAGTTATATCGTAACACAGAATGTGAAATAAAAAGTTACATTTTCGAACGTAAGATCATAGCAATCATGAAGACATATTTTGAGAAAGAAATTGTATGTAACGAGGGGATCTTTAGAGTTATTGATCATCATATTCCTTCCAGGAAAGCTCGGCCACCCTCTACACTAATCATTTGTGTGTTTTTAGGCAAACTGGAAGTCAATAATTGTGGATTATGCCACAATTATACTCGTCAGCATGGATTTGTTCATCATGCTGCACTGTCTCGTCTACTGGAAATACTATATTGGTATATATAATCTTATATTTCGTTGTTATTTATTGATTTGAATTACGTTTTAGGGCTTATGGTTTTTTTTCCTGCTTAGGTAATACGGATATTATAACGGATAACGATGTAGATAGCCCACGAATAAATAAATTACGTCACTGGCCCGAATTTAAACTAATTAATAACCGCGAAATCCTTTTTCTGCTTTATATCCCTTTTTAATGCTTTGGGTGGACCGATGCTTCTAGGTGTCAAACTAGGTAACTCACATAGGGTTTCCCCCTCCTAGGGGGGTCTCTTTAATTGAGATATATAATTGATTGATGTAATTCCCCTTTGAGATAAAAACTTTGTTTCGTTTCAGGCTAGTGGCGTCATTTGTTTATGTTTATGAGCCATACCGTTTCCGTTATATAATCCGTGTTTTGTAACACAGGTTAAGCACGTATGTTTGAGATTCTCTAAAAATATATTAGCCACAATGTAGGACGTTTTAAATTAACTTGAGTGTTCTTGATGTATTAACATGGAAGGCCATTGACGCAGACACTAAACAAAATGATCAAAATAACTAAGATCTCCTAATCAAAATACCAAATACTGTAAACCAAATTAGTATATTCCATACATGGCGATACTGTCTTGTACGGAATTATTTTGTAGATTTATCACACTGACATCTATTCTGACAGTTACTTCTTTCTAAAATGATTTATATTTCCATTTCCACAAGTATATCAATATTAAAGAAGACACAATTATGTTACTGTTTTACAGTATAGACTATTTTAACGATTATGAGTATAAAAAGACTAGCCTATTCAAAGAATTGTCACAGGAGCTTTTCACGGAATAATTGGTACCAATGTAACTTATTTTTTGTAAAAATGAAAAAAACCTAATGAAGATTGATTACAATAACATTCCGTAAATCACCAACAATAGTAGAATTTACTGGTTAAATTATGACTTATGACGAAACTTACAAATCAAACGAACTTGCTACTGTAGTTTTTTACCAATGATGTTTTGTTTTCACAGACCTGATGTCACCTTTGTACAACTACATAGCCACCTGCATCATCAGGGTATTTATTCGAAACGCAACCCCTTCTGATGACATTGAACGAGCTCAGGAACACAACAACGACAACAACAACAACAACAACAACGGGGACCGTACCAACAACAACAACTCGCAGCCTCCATCCTTCTGTTGCTTCGGTAGCGGCGCCCACCCGGAGGTTTCAGAAGTTCCCAAGAACATCCAACCAAAGGAGATTCTGCAAGCCCCTAAGACCTCCAAATATGATAATGCAGTGGTAGAATTGGATGAAATCATTGTACACGCCCCAAAGAAGGATGGAAAAGTTAATGCCAAGAACGAAGAAATTTGTAAACATGATATGGGACAACGTTACTATTACTCGAATTTGAATTCTTTCTTTGAGAAGAACTTGGGGAAGATGTGCGGGGAATATGCGAACAAAGGTGGGTTGACCTACTCACTTTGATAGTTAATCGTCGTAGTTCTGTTTATAAAAATGATATGAGTAGCTAAATAGTACAGAGATTGCGGATTACAGGTGATTGACATGCCATGATTCAGTATGGACTTAATCAATCGTCTTTTCACTTTATTTTGACTTAGAGTATTTCGACTTGAAAATATCTAAAAGTGTTAAGCTTAACGTAATTAACCCATTTTATTGGATAGTTTGATGGTTTGTGGGTGAAGTCACTGACTTGGTGTGTTTTGATTAATATGTTACACCTTGAGAAAACCTTACTTTTAATTTACTATTTAAATTTACTAAAGTAAAAAAATCACAAATATTATCATATTTTTGTTATTTGAATTAGATACTCTAATGCTCAAATTAACTCTTACTAAGCAGTAAAATGTTGGAAACACGGGATTTTGCTATTTGTAGGAGTTATACATGGTATGGAATCGTGACATAATCCTTTTTAAGAACTCTCTTTTAATATTTGTACTTACACTGATAGCTATAACTGCTACGACTTCGGTTCGGACCACTCACTCTGGAACGAACAACATCCTGAACACATACATAATGCTACTACATAACACATACTACATAATGTTTTTTAACAGAATACTATTCCCACTGTATCTTCCATCACTTGAGATTACGTGCTTCAACGTACTGTTATTAGCCATTAGGTGAATTTATAAAAATGCTTTGCAAACTTAAAACAGGAACATTAAATGCTTTTTAAAAATGCTTTTTGTATGTACTGTAGGTTCTATAATCCATTTTAAACAGGTTTACAATGTTGGTAATTAATCTTAATGGTGTAGGTTACCCTGCTTCTTTGAATTATAGTTTTTTAGTTGTTAAATTTTTTCTTGTTATTTGAGTCATTTCAAGCCTCATTTAACAAAATAAAACGATATAATCATAAACAATTACTGGTCTCCTAGTTATACAGCGTGTAAATTAAGTATTGAAACAAATCTGTATTTTTTAAACCGAAATAGATAGAAATATTCTGTTTGTGGCATTGATTTTTAACAAAGGTTGCGAAATCTTTTATATAATACAATTGCTTAACCACCTTAACAGGGTAGGGAGTAGGGGTGACTTTTTTCAAATAGCCCACCACTACAACCACCTCTATTGAGTGACCCATCATTTTGAAGGGCTTGTCAAAAGAAACACAATGCAAACCCGACGTGAACATTTCACCCTTAGCCAAAATGGCGGGTATTCCAAAATGGGTGATTTTTCACAGAAATCAAATTTTAAAATACCCGCCATTTAGGCTAGGGGTAAAATATCTACCTCGGGTTTGCGTCATTGCATTTCTTTTGACAAACCATTCAAAATGAGGGGTCAAAAGAAACGCAATGACGTAAACCCAAGGGGGGCATCTCACCCCTAGCTAAAATGAGGACATTTCAAAAGTTTATTTAGGCCTATGTGAAAAACACCAATTTCAAAAATGTGGAAACAAATCTGTAAATTTTAAACCGACATTGATAAAAATCAAAAAGTTTGTTAAAAAATGTAATAAAGAGGCTATTATTAAATATACACCTTGATGGCAATTAAATTTATTCTACAGTATATAACTGGTAGACATAGCTCAACGTTTTCTTGTTATAGGTCCTAAAGAGTTGCGGGTCCAAAGTATGATGTTTTCTTTACTGTAGTTATATAAAAAGTGTTATACAAATTCTATACAGCCGATTCTCCATATGTTCAGTGAGATACCAGTAAATTTGAATGTTAATGTGAATTTAGATTTGTTTTTATTTTCTAGAGCCGCCATTTAATCACATCGACATCATTCAACACATCTAAGAATGACGATTATCAGTGGGACCCGAAGTAAAGGACTCTGCAAGACACACAGAAGAGACGACCATAAACGACTACTTTACCTCTATCGCAAAGTTTACAAAATCATGTTTACATTTGTCAGCTAACATAAAATGAGGAAATTATTTAATTTTATGTAAATAAGGCTCAATAGTATCGTATGTATTCTTTTTTAATTTAAGACATTTTGTATCAACGTTGACCGTTTATAAACGCTACTAAACGTGTTTTAAGTTATCACAATTTATTTTTAATTCAATTACGTGACATTTACAAATTAAATGTAAAAAAATAGTTTCTTAAATTCTAATTATTATCTAGATTTACTTTGTACTTTAGTCTTCTTTAAACGTGGTCGTTGAATGCAAAATAACCAAATACATGCAGAAGAGGTAGAGTGGCTATATGTGTCCTTAATGTAATGTTTTATATATTAATAAATACTGCTGAGCATTGACTTGTTTTTATCATTTTACCGTACATTAGCTATTTATTAGAAGGGTATGTATTTTCTCAAATTAACAAAGTCAATTAAATATGTCAATTAAACCTCATTCCTGGTAGAAGATGAAACATAAAATTCTTCATTAGGTGATCACTTGTTAGTGTTCCCCAAAAAGCATATTTCCTATGACAAGTCAATTTCTAATTGAATTTCTTCAGTGCAGGCTTAGTGGTTAGTATATTTTATTTCCTTAAATATCCCTTTAATTATTTCTACTTTAACAGTCTTATGAGAATTTGTTCTTTCCACTCTCCATTCTACTATTCGATATTTAAAGTTTTTTTATCTAATCTTTAGACAAACAAAATGAACTAAAATATAATTCGAGAACTAACTGTAAAATAGTAAATTGTGTTTTCATACTTTTAAAGTCTTAACTGTTTCGTTTGGGGTTAAAATGTTAGGTATATGTAACAATATAGTTAGTAATTGAGAGTTAAATTAAAATAACCAGACATGGTAAGAACCGTATATTGAAGAGCTAGAGGTTATCTAAGAAGTGGAAATCTTAATTATTACAATAAATTTGAAGAGAGCAAATCGAGAACATCCTTTTACAATGCCCACAGGACTAAAATACCTGTTTATTATTTTATTTTCAACATAACATTATGTTTTGAACATTATAATATAGGGAATTATATAATTTTGTATTGAACATGATTTGAATAAGCGAATGTTGAATAATTTAGGTAAACCTAAGATCGTAAACGTAAAATACAATGTATAAGTTTACCGAATGGGCCGGGGGCCTAGGATCCCCAGTGGGTTTAACAAAAAACGTCCACTAATATACAGAGGAACACCTTGTGGGCAGGTCTTGGTGAGGTTGTCACTGGGGGTCTTCATGTCTACCATCATTGACTTGTATATACCATTCACACAACTCTGTTAGCTCCTAGATAAACAGCTGTTTATCTAAGCTGTTGTATGAGCGCACATATAACAACATAATGTACATAACCAACCAACATGTATGTTGTAATGTACCAACAACTTTTCCATTGTCTGTGCTTACAGTTACAGTCACAGTATAGCACCTTAGTTCAAAACTGCTCTATAGAATCACCGTGACACAGGTAGAGTAATAACAAAAATATTCCCTTGCGATAAGATAATCATGTTGTAAATACCATAGAAAAGTGCAAACCTATGACTCAGTGGTCTGATTAGATCGGACGTTTGTAAACATTTGAAATTGAGTTTACAAAACCTTGGAGTTGACACGAATAAAAAAAACACATTTCGCATGATTTAGCCAAATTGATTGCACTATACAACGTCAAAAAGCAGTAACAAGATGGTAGAACTAAAAAGCTAATTTCTATAGTTTGAATGTTTGGATCCCTTTAGATTCAAGCTGTGCTCAAATATAATTTTCAATATTTAATAGCGATGTTTTCCTAAACAGTTAATTCGCGTCACAATGTGTAGTGGTTTTCAAAACGACTTTTTGTTAAAATTCAATCCGACAAATGGAAATTAGCTCATGTTGTAGCCTTGCCTTCTGAAAAGAATTAAAAATTACCTCTTATATTTTAATTAAAAACACAATTGTTATAACTTTTTTTTTTTATTTTTCCATTGGTTACAGCCCAAAAAGTGTAGCGTGCAATGTCAATTCTTGTCCATATCAATAAGATTCAATTCGTCTGGTAACCCTACAGGATCTTCTGTATCTTCTTCAGATCTTCTTCCCTCCTCCATTTTTTCTGTCCTCCTAACATTCACATTTTTCTTGACTAGGATGAGCTCAAACACACAAAAATAAATTCAAAAATTATCTGGTGTATTGCCATAAAGTCTATAATAGGTTATTTATAACTAAATTTACTTTAACAATAAATAAATAGACCTTTTTGTTTTTTAAGGCTTTTGCAACACCTTTTCCCTTTTTACAATGGTCAGTGAATTCGTTATTGCTGTTAACAATTATTTTAGTCACGGTAAAGAAGAATTTGAATTTATATAAATGTCTTCACCATGAAACTTAGAATAAAAACGTCAATTTACTTATAAACTTTCAACATATCAGCTAGTACTTTTTACACTGTAAATCTTTAGATCTGTGCTCGGTAGCCTATCAAACTAGTGGCCTTCGACTTATATTTATTACCGGAGAAATCAATAACAGGGGACTATTGTTTAAACAAATTAGTTAAAGTTGTTTATACTCAATACAATGAACGTGCGGGCAATTTTTGAAATGTTTTTTAGGTTACCATAAGAACTGTATGATAACTGTGGGATAACTGTAAGGGTTTAAAAAAAGAATACCTGTCTACTTAATAAATTGACAGATTTTGGAAAATGTGTAACGAATATCCAAAGATGCTTTTAATATAATTTATTTTTAAATCATGGAATATTATGTCTGCACAGAGATTGGCGTCATCGTCTTATCACAAGTCTGTACATTCTGATTGGTCAGCGGCACCGCACCTGACGAATATACAGGGTGGCCGAAACTCCGGTCCTTCCCCTTCGTGTAGGCCTACTGTATTACAATGCGTTGAGATACATTTCATATATTTATTATGGACTTCAAAGTAAATAGTTATATTTCCATCAAGTACGTTCATATCAACTTGAGTGGAGCTCTTTGAGATCGGGCAGTTTACAAACTTTGTAATCGCATCAATAACGGCTGAAAATTGTA